TAACTTTGTTGTGGTAATCCTTTTACAATATATACATATATCAAATCATTACATTGCATACCTTAAACTTACACAATATTATATGTCAATTATCTCTCAAAAAGCTGGGGAAAAAAAGAGAAACTTCATAGCAATTTGACTGAGTAATTTATATGTCTTGAATCTAATATCAAAACTTCTCATTTTGTTTTTCTAATGATTCATTTGTATTGTATTTTACCAAAGTACCAGTGTGAGAGGGATTAGAATTTTTTTGCATATATATTTTTATTGAAGTATAGTCAGTTTACAATGTTGTGTCAATTTCTGGTTTACAGTATAATGTTTCAGTCATACATGAACATACATATATTCGTCTTCATATTCTTTTCCATGAAAGGCTACTACAAAATATTGAATATAGTTCCCTGTGCTATACAGTATACACTTGCTGTTTATCTATTTTATATATATTAGTATCTGCAAATCTCTAACTCCCAATTTATCCCTTCCCATCCCTTTCCCCCAGTAACCATAAGTTTGTTTTCTATGTGTGTGAGTCTGTTTCTGTTTTGTAAATAAATTTGTCTTTTTTTTTTAATCCCATGTGAGTGATATCATGTGGTATTTTTCTTTCTCTTTCTGGCTTACTTCACTTAGAAGATTTTTTTTTTTAAAGTCCTTCAACACAGATAACTTGGAGCAACACAGTTTTTGAAGAAGTGAATTCTCAGAAACTTTCAAACTTTCAGTTACTAGTCTCATGAAAATGAAAAAAAAAATGTAGCAAGAAATTTAAAGTACGAAATGAAAATATTCTTATTTACACTTTGGCTTTACAAATGGCATCATGATGTAAGCTTAAACATAACAGACTTTCAGTTTTATATTTTAATCAGTATCACTATAAACTTTCTAAATTTTTACTTATTATAGCATATTTCATGTAATTCTCAATCCTGACTGAGTCTCAGTAATTGCTAATTACACCTGAAACCATTAAGTATTATTTATACATAAATGAGGAAAGTTAACAGATCTCCCTAAGGCCAAAGACTTTCCAGTACAGAACTTGCAGCTCTTGACTCTCAACGTCAGTTCTTTCCATAATGCAATAGAACATGTTAAAACTCATTTAAGAGCATGTGTTTACAGAAACCCAGCACTGAAATCAAAGGAACACATTTTATAGCTTAGAACTCCCACAATTTGTATATATGCGATCTTCAACACCAAGTCCATATTCTCAAACTCAAAATGAGTAAAATATTTAGAAAAAAAATTTTTAATTTTAACTAAGCTATATAGTTTCACAGATTTACAGGCAATAAAATTATTTCAACTTTAGTTTGCACTTTATAGACTGCCTCAAATGCTTAATTTGCTCTCAGAAGGTAAAGCAAAGTGGCAAGGGAACAAGTGAAATGTCCTGAAGCAAAGTCTAGTTCATTAAACTTATCACTAAAAAAATTCAAACTTTAACATGTTAGAATCAAACCACTTTAAAATGAACATTGTTATTCCACTTGGAAATATCTTACATTCCTAAATAATCAACCCTGACAGAACAGCATAAAAAATGTCATACCCAGCTTTCCAGAGTTAGTCTGTAAAAACACTGTTTAAACACCTAAAAAGTACACACCTTAAAGGATTTCTTTAAAAAAAATTTTTAACCACTCAAAATAACAGCCTCTTTAATGACTGAGCAATGTGAGATTCCTGTAACCGAGGAGGATTTTGGGTTAAAATGTAGGTCCTTATCCACTTAACAACAGCAATGTTACAAGACCAAAAAAAGGTACATTTTAAAGATCTTTAGGTCAATACATGATTTTTTTTAAATTAATAAAATCATTCTCAGTACACAAGGAAAATGCTTTCACTGGAACTTTCTGACTCCTACGTTAAACCGAATTTAGCATATTCCAAAGTTGAGCTATTTAGCATACTGCTCGCTACAGCTGCATTTTTATTCCATCATGTCAATCAGAAATCTAAATATATCCTAGAAAAGAATAAACTCTACCCAAGAAGACAGATTGTAATGTGTTATTAGATTTTTGGAATAATCCCCACTTCTGTGGTGTAAACAAATGTTCAGGCAGATCCTTTTGAAATCTTTGGTAATTTTCTTTAGAAAGGCAATGTTGATAAAAGATCTTTTTTCTCTTTTGTGAGTTGTAAAAGGAAATTATAGCTATCTGTGTTAGATAATCTTGTGAAAGACTTGTAACAATTGCACACACAATGTAAACATAAAAACACAAGAGGAAAAATAGACAACTTAGCTTTCATTTTACTTGCCAGAGTACATCAAACAAGTAGAAGAAAATAGTAGCTTTAAAATCAAATACACTTTTTCCTAGGGATTTTTTTTCGCCTTCTGTACTGAAATGGAAATGGCGGAGAATGTTCTAAATTTACCGTCCACACACTATTAAGGGTCAAAAATGAATCATTTAATCCTTTTGTCAATATTGACAGTAGAATACTGCATATGGTGAATATGAGCAGATGTGTCCTCTACTTTGGATAGGAAAGTCACCTTTTAAGAAATTAAATTATAAAAATAAAATGGTAGACAACTGCCTGCCTACCAAAATTAAATTAACCATGATTTTTTTTCTGACTTCAAAAGCAATCAAGAAATTGTTAGAATTTTAACTGAGTTATTATAAAAGGCAAGTTATCACCTCAAACTGAATGCAATTTTTTCATGAGAGTACACGTAAAAGTCACAGAAGGTGCGTCCCAAAACATTATGGCTAGTAAATATGTCTCCCCATCCCTGAAACAAGCCATCAGAATACGGTCCCACAAATCCCTATTACTGAACTAAATCTTTCCCAAGATAAGAGAGAGAAGACACTTAAACTTTCAGAAGTGGTGTTGAATAAAAGCTTAAGTGTTTATATCTCAACAGGAATGGAAGCAGGAAAGGACAGGGAAATGTTCCATTAAAAAAAAAATCTCACAATCTTTCAATCCTAGCTTTAAATATCTATCTCCATATTACAAAGCAAGCTACAAAAACAAAAACAAAAAGAAGAGAGGGAAGGAAGGATAAAGGGAAAGAAGGAAGGACAGAAGGAAATACTGACATCCCCCCTTTTTTCATAGAGAATAGAACTGAAGCGCTTTGGCAACTTGTTGATGAGTGGTAGGACCATGAAACCATTTTTAAAGCAGAAAATATACTCTATTCAACATCAATAAACTTTACAACGTTGAACACCCACGTTAAGAGTATTTTCACTCATGTGTTCTGAACTTTCACCTTTTCCCCTGCTCTGGTGAAAAGGTCGGGTGGGGAAGGGGTGCTGTCTCCACTCATGCTTGAAGTTCCTGTGTGAACTCTGATTCTCCAGGGTAGAGCGTCTGGGTTCCTCTCTTAGTTGTCACGATCGAGGTTCCACTTGAGGCAGGCACTTTCTCAGTTGTCACGTCTCGGTTTCACTTTAGGCAGGCACAATTCTTGTTACTTCGGCTTACCTGGCTGTAAATTGAGACCACTACCAATGCTTTATTGTGGGAAATGTTAGGTGTTCTGAACGCCTGCGAATCCTTACTTGCATTCGCTGTTTGAAAAGGACCACGAGGACACGACATAGGGATTTTAAGGCGCCGGCTACCTCCATGCCACCCCGCATGGCTTTTTCAGTTACCAGTACTAACCAAGAGACAGGAATGAAGGCTGACAGGAATAGGTCACGCGACTAGCAGGCTGTCCCCGGACCCTCTTTTAACCAAAATCCCACACAGATCACTTACCCTGGATGACGTGCTCTGGTGAGATGGTCTTCTTTTCCGATTTGTTGCAGATCTCATTGGCTTCAGAAGATATAAGGTGAATGAATTCAGTGCAGCAGTTCACCACCAGCTCCCGGGCATCGTTGGCCACCCGGACACTAGGGAGAGTCTCTTTGATCATCTTATTGATAGCAGCTCTGGGTATAGTGAGGTCATCATCGTTGCCAGATGAGGAAGCCATCGTACCTTCGTACCTCTCGCGCCCCGACTTGTAAAAACTCCCCGGCTCTGGTCCACTACTCCACCAAGGTGTTTCAAAAGGCCGCCCTCGGAGAGTGATCCCGGGGGCGCTCTGAGAAGAGGGCGCAGAGAATTAAGAGGGGGGCAGAGAGGGCAGGGAACACCGTGTGTGCGCTTTGGGCGAGGCTGGGGGTCAAGTCGGGGGGCTGAGGACTCTGGAGACAGCACTGGCCAAGTCGGGGAGGGGAAAGCGAGGTGGTCCGGAAATTTGAGCACTGGAGAACCACCTTCGTGTCTCCTCAGAGGGGTGTGCGCTGTCGCCTAACCGGTCCCCAACGGCGCCGGAGCAGAGGCAAGGT